TAGTTTTACACCTAGGTTAGCAAGCTAAAAATTAAGTCCTGCAGTCTTATTTTGGTTCAAAACGAAACAGGGAAAACTGGCATAATTGGCACAATTAAATATTAAGTCCTGCTAGACTTTCTGGGTTGATATTAAACACTGACAATGTTCAGCATTTCTGCAGTACCTTTCACTCCAGAGGCCTTGATAAAACGGGATGATTACACACAATGAGGTTTTGAATTGAGCAGCTACTACTGAGGGCTTTGATAGCAGAGAGTGGATTGTTTTTACAGGGCTAAGATTAGCTCTCGCATCAAATGCAGCTTTTCTTTACAGACTGAATAACCAGGAATCTAAAACACAAAGTATAACAAAAATGCTGAAGGCCATAAAGATATAGAAAGACTGAATTTAGTGCATATTTTTAATGGCACTGCCCAATGTAATATATTTTATCCTGGATTGTATCCAGTGTCAAAGCAGTGTCTTGCTTGGAAAAATACATCTTGTGAGTTAAAACTCCTGATGTGTCTAAGTTCTGCTTATTAGTTGATATATTCAAACTAATGTTCAAACTACAAACCAACAATATGCAGTTCTGAAAATGAAATAGTCAGACTAAGAGGAGATATCTGAAATAGAAACAATCTGGATCTAGCAGAATCAATGTTAAAGTTCAGCTTTTTCCTAAAGGGATGAGGTGGAAGGTTCAATGACCTTCCATGCAGCTACTGGAGCTTTGTGCATGTCCATGGTCCAGGTCCATACAGATCTGGGCTGAAATTTTCCATTACGAATCTTTCTTAGTTTCCCCACATGTGAAACTGGACAGAACCAAACTAAATACAGCTCTGTCTAGGAGGCTTCTACAACACTTTAGAGCATAGATTATATTTTATCTGAAAGTGATTCAAATTCAGACAGCTGTGTGTTGCTGCTCCCCTGACTATTCCTGAGAGAGTAATAAAAATGAGAGGAGTCCTTTATAAATTACTACTGCGTGCAGTTAATAAATCTCAGGCCACAGAAGTAAGTGAGAGTATGTATTTTAGTAGCTGTGAGCTGGGGAGCACGAGTCAGAGAACTGTGTCCAGAGTGGAGCAGTAAACATCTTTATTACGGCTGAGTCTCACTCAGTGATAGCTGATGTATGGCCACAGAAGTTGTTTTGAAGACAGCGAGTGCTGGACAGGAGCTGGGAACTGTCCTCGGCTGTTATCAAGGAATTCCCTGGCTGCTTGAATTGAGTAAACAACTGTTACAGATGAACTGCAAGGCTGTAGCTTCTTTGCTACCTCAAGGCTGATAGAATTCAGAGCCTCCAATGTCTGCGATGCAGCTCTGCTGAGGCTGGCAGTGATAAAATTGGGATGGCTGACGTATTACAGAGTCTTAGCATTACATCAATATATCCTTTCCTATAACCTCTGTACAGAATATTGTACCTGCTTTTTTTTTTTTTTTTTCTGCTGTTACTCTTGCCTGACAGGCTTAGCACTGCAGAACAACCCTAAGTGGTGAAAGGCCTCACTTCAAGTTTTGAGAATGAGCCCCTGCATTTTGATAGAGACAAATTACAACGAATCTACAGTAATATAAACTTTTGAAGAAGCTTTTCTAGTCCTTTTAATTTATCAATTAAATCTTATAGTGGCATCAAAGACAAGTGGAAGGCCCACTTGCCACATTGTCTGGCTAGTAAATCTATACTGTGACCTGGAAATTGCACCCCGGAATGCATCTCAGCCTTTCTTGCTCTTCTGCAGATGCTGCTGTTCAATCTAGAAGCAATGCTGGCTACATTGTTTGTATTTGATGTTTATGTTTATAAGAAAAAAATCATTATTTTTTTTGTTTGCTTGTATTTTAGCTTTTTAAATTAGTAGCAAGTCATTTTAAAAGACTGGGGTATCATCTTCTTTTGTCAGCTACAAGCAGTTGGTGCTTGAGGGAAGCATGGCTTCCTTTGCTGTCTGGTATTTCCTGGATTGTCATAGGCTGGGAGGCTACAATATGGGATGAAACAACAAACCTTTACTTTCTTTTAAGAGAACATTTCCATGTTTCATGTTAGGCTTATGTCTAAGTGTCATTATTTTGGCAGAGGATCTTTTAAAGGAAATGTAAGTAATTATGCTGCTTTTTCTAGAATAATAAGGGGCAGGATATTTATAACTACACTGTATTTCTTATATAATTACACTAATATTTTAAAACTGGATTTTAAACATAACCTGCATTAGAAGATGATGATGTATTCTTTTTTAGAAAGAGAAAGCAAATAAACCACTAAACCAGCGATACAAATAAGAAAAAACCAAGAATAGCCCTGACAGCACTCTACTTGTGTATTTTGAGGGGCTTATGACCTCCTCAACACACTTTTTTGGCAGGCAGCTGAAGACCTTGTCACTTTCAAGCATTTCTCCTTGTGCCCAGAGATACTACAGAGCAGTCAAGAATTTGCTTCAAGACAGCCAATGAGCCGATTTGTCCTGTCTGGTGCTGAAAACATTATAGCTAGTCTGTACTGCCCTGGGTTGGTATGACTTTTTTTTAACTCCAGAACTGGATTTTTCAGTCTCAAATCTGATTGCTTTAGCAGAGTTTATTTTGTGAGACCGGCATCTCAATGCTTCTTTTGGGCAGCAGAATTTTCACTCCCTACAGACTGAAGCTACTTTCAAAACTTCATTCAAATGTTCTTCTTTTCCTAACCATTGTATACTGGTTGACTTGCAATGTGATCACCCAAGTAAATATGTTCTCTGTTTCTCTTGCCTAATCTCAATGTGCATTGCATCCTTTTCTGCTTAAAACTCTGCTTTACTAAAATGTTTAAAAATGTTTAGAGAAGCAGAGTAAGGCAGACAGATAGTTTTGAGAGCACCACAAAATTATACATACAACACTGTCACATAATACGTATCTTTGATAAAGTGTATGAATGCAAATACATATCTTACCACTGTGCCAGCTATTTGGCAATACTTTTCATAAATGTATCTATGGAATTTCTCTCTAAGATTATTTTTTTTTTCCTTTGGGACAGCATTATTTGCAATCTGTAAATAGTTTGTGTACACTTCCAAGATTCTAGTTTTTAATTCTTTAAAGGTTATTCTTCTGTTGTAAGTTGAGATCAATTTTGTGCATTTGGGAAATGCTTGGCAAAATATTGGAATTGCAATCTCATGTCATCCCTGAAAGGAGAGTTTTTCTTCACCTGAAAACCTGCCAGCATCAGTGAAGGAGAACTAATATTCTAAGATAATGTAACTTGTACCTGGACCTATCGGTTTTCTCTCATAGTTAGAATTTAATTTTAACTGAATTTTAACAATGCTCAGAGTTCTTAGATCCTTTTCTCTGCATCTATCAACCTCCAAGTCAAATAGCTCGTATAGAGTTATAGTACCCATGAAATTAGTGGTATTCCTGTTGTTAGGAATGCCCATCTTCTATGTGTCAGTAGGTGATTATGCTCTCGATAGGTGTCTTTTTGTGACAAGCAATCTGCATTGTACTGCATGAGCTGGGTAGTAAAAAATACCTACTGGGAAAAGCTCCCTCCTTGAGAATTCAGCATTGTTATGAATCCATCTGGGAGGAAGTGGTAGGGGAAATGTTAACAGAAACTAGACAACAGATTTAGATCTATTAAAAAATTCAGCTTCTGTTCAGACGGCTCTCAGAAAAATAAATTAAAAAAAAAAAAAAAAAAAAAAAAAAAAAAAAAAAAAAAAAAAAAAACGAAAAAAACCCTCCTGGTTGCTGTAACTGCACATTGATGGGGGAGAATGTTTACTGGATTTTTTGTTGCCAGCCAGAGGAGCCATAGAAAGCATATGTCAGAATTGTATCCACATACAGATGCTGCTTTCACTATTGAAACTGCACTGGAAGTTTTCAGCTGAAAAAGCTTGAAGTTCAGAGGGCTTGTGGATAAGGGTAGATGGCAGCCTAGACTTGAGCCTTCACTGTGCCCTTGCAGCCCAGAAGGGCAACCATATTCTGGGCAACAGTTGACACACGAGGGATGAGATGCTGTACAGAGACCTAGGCAGTCTCCAGCAGTGGGCCCAGGTGAAACTCATGAGTTTAAATGGTTTAATATATCTGCAAGGTCTTGCACCTGGGTTGCAGCAACCCCCCACTACCAGTACAAGCCAGGGGACAAAAGATTAGAGTACAGCCTTGCCAAAAAGAACTTAAGGCTATTGGTGGATGGATGGCAAGGTTGATACGAGCCAGCGATGTGCTCTTGCAGCCCAGAAGGCCAACTATATCCTGAGCTGTATCAAAAGGAGTGTGGACAGCAGGGTGAGGGATCCTACTCCTCTACTCTGTGCTGGTGAGATGTTACCTGGAGTACTTGTTGCTTTTCACGCCCGTACCGAATTTCCCGGGAGACCGCAGCTTGGCCAATTACTGAGGCGACACCAATATGATGAGCAGCAAATGGCGTTTATTACCCGTATACACTACCTTATATAGCCTAATTACTTCGTCTACGCCCCCAAGGGGGCACATCACACATCAATCATTAGAGCAGGGAGGGAGCTTAACACATCAGACCCCGCGGGGGGGTCTCGCAGTTTCGCAGTTGCTGACAACATCTCCCCCTCTCCATGCTCAAGAAAGCATACTACAACTCGAGAGGACCCTAACCGCGTACACCCCGAAATCCCCGCATTGCGCCTATACATGCCATTGTCCTCTCGGTTAAGCCTTGCCCCGTTACAACCCGATTCGCAAAATATCCTATCCTAATAACCCTATATAACCTTATAACTTATAACCTTATATACTTATAACCTTATAACCTTATAACTTTATAATTTAATGACCTATATACTTATAACTTTATAACTTATATACTTATAACCTTATAACTTAATGACAACCTATTATCTTAACAATCCTAAAATCTTAATATCTTATATAAGTTCTACCTTAACGTTACAACCATCTATCAGCCTTAAAATAAGTCTTACAAAAAACGATGCAGTGTATCCCTATTTAATGCTAAATCAAGCTGGGACACTTGCTTTAGCAAGCGCCATGTCTTTATATATAATATAACTATAAGAACCAAGCATAATACTATTAAACCTAATATAACAACTACCGGATGTAGTACAGAGTTAAATATTCCCGTAGCTGTGGGAGACCAACCGAAAAGAACCTCCCACCAGTGATGTTCTCCAGCTTTCATTACTCTTTCCAAGACGCGATGTATCTTTTTCACATCATGATGAACAGTAATCAAGGTCTTTTGTCCGTTGTCTTTGATGCGTTCTAATAGTCGATGCAGATCGTCATGTTGTAGAAGCTCCTTTACCAAAGCGAGATTCATTCCAATCAGCGCTGGACGCAAATCTTTGATCAGAGTGTAATTGAACTGCAAAAGCTGATATGAAGTAACAGGAACTGTATAGTTAAAATCACATCCTAAAATATTGATAAAATTGCAAACACAAAGATTTGAGTGATTGGTAGTATCAACAATCATATTCCCTATTTGTATGGAGTCGCAATGAGTTCTGATGCAAGCACATCCTTTTCCAATATATACAAGCATTGATTCGAACATCCTACCAGGCTGGACCTCAAAGTGGCAGATATTTTGTTCAGTGTCTATACTGTTTAAGACTCCTAAACCTGTTCCCAGAATACCAGAAACATCTCTTTTTGCTCTTCTAGATGTATCAAGTGCCTGTCGATGAAGCCATGCTGACCATCCGGCATATGACATGCCTAAAAATAATGCACAATCTGGTTTAATAGTTGACACATTAGTCTGCAATAATAGCATCACTCGTTTAAGGGACCACGTTGGATTAAAGATCACCTGACGCTGACCTGTGTTCTTTATGGCGTACGGCCCGATTTGATAAATTTGTGGGGAGATAACACTCTCCAGTCTCCTAGTGGGAGTTATATATGGGACATCAGTTGTTTATTGATTAAGGAGATCCACCTTGAATTTAAAAGATCGTCCTAAGGTGTCTTGTGTCCAAAGGCATGTTATCATTACAGGTTGGGTCAGGATGAAATTATACTGGCAATCTCCCTGTTCAATAACACAGGATTTACGATCCCTTACGCCTGATATAACATCTGTTTTCGAAATTTGAGTGGCCTTCTTATAGTGAGATCCATTTACCATCCAACACTTTACTTCTATATTCTGCCCTGGTTTTCCCCAAATTCGTGGAGATCTGGTAGCATTATCCCATCCCCATTCACTTTTGTCATACGGTCTGTTTTCACGTAACACCACGGTCAGCAAAGTCAAATTATTTACTGGTCCCATCATTCCTGTATATTCCTTACGACCATACCGTAAATCACTGATAGTTATACCCTCTCCAGGAGAAATAGCTGTAAACAACAAAAACACACAGATAACAACACAAGAGAGATTGATCTCGTCGTTATCAGTGGCTCCTTGTCTGTTTCCTTTCCTGAGGCGGGCTTCGGTCGTGGCTTCGGTCAAGGGTTCGGTGTTTTTTCTTGACGAGTTCCAAACAGCAATGCCTGAAAACAAAGCACTCAGTTCTTGATTATTTCTCTGCTTTTCCATCATGTCCCACTTATATCAGGTTTAACTTTCCTGGATGGGACCCACAAAATTTTTCCGGAATTCTTATTTTTTACTGCAGCAAGTACTGCATCCAGGTAAGAAGTCCTCAGTACAGGAGAGATATGGACCTGTTGAATCACATCTAAAGGAGGGCCACAAAACTTGAAGGAATGGAACACCTTTCCTATGAGGTCAGGCTGACACAGCTGGGGCTGTTCAGCCTGGAGCTGAATGGTATCTAGTGGCCTTTCAGTGTCTAAAGTGGGCCTATAAATAGAATCTGTTGTAATAGGACTAGGGGAAATGGTTTCAGACTAAAAGAGAGGAGATTTAGATTAGATATAAATATATATGTATATTTTTATGATAAGGGTGGTGAGGCACAAGAGCAGGTTGCCCAAAGAGATGGTGGAAGCCCAGCTCTGAAGGCATTCAAGACTGGGGAGGGCTGTGCTCTCAGCAATCTGTTGCAGCTGTAGATATCCCTGTTCACTGCAGGGGAGTTGGAGTAGAGGACCTTCAAATATGCCTTTTTACTCAACTTTACAATTGTGTAAAGTGCATTGAAGTCAGTGGAAGTTTTCCTAAGGATTTCAGCATATTTAAACTACTCCATAGCATTTCTGGTTTCAGCTAAACATATAATAATTCATTAATATGTGGCTCTCTCTCAGCAACAGAATCATGCCCTGGACCAGACCAGCTGGGGAGGGGTGGAGCTGCTGCCTTTATGGCAGGTCAGCAGGGGGTGAAGTGGAGCCAGGACAGGTGGCCTGAATGAGGCAATTAAGGCATGAGCCACCCTACCGAAGGCCATAAAGCTGTGAGGGAGTTTGCCTAGGGGGTGCAGTGTGAACTGTTGGTCAGTAAGCAGAGGGAGGTTTTGTGTTGCTGGTGGAGTGTCTAATGGCTGCTCTGCATCGGTCAGCAAGTGGTGAGTAATTGCATTGTAATTGTATATATTATTGCCGTTGTTTCTTTTTTCTCTTTTTTTGTTCTAGGAGTTAGTTTTTTAATCTTAATGCACAAGTTCTGTTTTATTTCTAGTTCTCCCTCTTACCCTTCCTGAGGGGGAGTGAGTAACTGGCTGTGCAGTGCTGAGCTGCTGTTGAGTTAAACTACAAACACCATGGAGATAAAGGGTCCTTTTAATACTTCCTAATTGTCTTGTTTAGAGAGGTTGTGTTTGGCTTCGAAGAGCATGTGGTTCATTAACTAGGCCGTTAGTAACTTCTTTCATAAAGATATATTTGCTGGGGCCAACCTATAGAAGGGCAAACAATGCCAGTAGTTTAGCTGAGGCTTGCAGTTCAGCCTGCTTGTCCTTTGTAACCTTGAAGGAGTTGATGAGGAATGGTAATTTGAGTTAAGGTATTATCCTTACCGTTAATTAGTAGTAGTTTCTATACGATTCTGTGCTGTTCTCTTGTACTGCTTTCTGTAGATATTCTGAAAGCTTCTTTTTCATGCTGGACAATGAGAAAATAATTTGTATTTTCAAATGAGGTTTTCATGTAACGCGGATCGCTAAGGAGCAGAGAGCATTCTGCTAACATGGTTTTCACCTGAGTACAAAATCACAGGGAAAGTGAAAGCTGGCTGAAATCATCTACAATTGCAGTTCAACTTATTAGGAAAATAATGCAGCATCTTAAGATGCATAGTATTCTACTACATAAAGATGATAAAAGACAAGTGTCCAGTAGTGAGTGCTCTATTAGGGGATGTGATTACTGAGGATTGACCTTGTGAGTATACAAATACAGACTCTTCTTACTGATGATTGAGTGGTGAAATAGAGTGACAGTAAGGACAATGAGCCTGTGGGAAGGAAGACTTAAGGGCAAGTCAACAACTTTTGCTGAGAGCTGTTGGCTGACCCAGGCTCTGCTATCTGTTCAAATATACAGGTACTCAAACTTTCTTACAATGTCCGTCTAAAAGAAATCCTCACCTTCTTGTGTGTCTGGAATGAATTGTCAGGGGGATGCATAAACAAATGTAGGTTCATAACCGAAGTATTGGATCAGAGAAGATGGTACAAAATGTTTCTTGGAGTTTTTAAGGTTCTTATATCTAAAGATTAATAAAAGCCAGATGTGAGAGCTTGTGAACATAAAAAAAATCCTACCTTCTTGCTCTTAGCAAAAGGCAAAAAGGATATGTTCCGTTTAAACAGCTTGTCTTTTGAAATTGTGAACAATTCAAATTTGAGGTATAATACAGTCAGTGGAGTGTTTCTATCTATAACATTGTTTTAAATTCTTATAAGTATGGAAGTCTGTACGTGACCATAAAAACAGTCTGCTAGTGGGCTGCTTGGGCCTGAACTTTGCTCACAGTATGCTCTAGGGAACACAATGACATGGTGACCTTAGTCACAGAAAAACATAGAATGCATTTTTTTTCAAAACAAGGAATAACAGTAGCTCTGCTGTCAGTTTCTATAAATCTGGGAACAGAAGCTGTGAACCAGCTTTCTGACGAAGCAGTCTAATAAGCCATCAAGTGCATGCTTTCTGTTATTTGATTTTAAACATTCACTTAGTTTTTCAGTCTAGCAAAACTGACTTGAACTTTCTATAGGCATCCGTTTTCTGTGCTGTATCACTTCTCATCAGTGTGAACACTAAATTATAGATATAAGCTGCTGTCTCACAGTTTATGATGAATTAAGGAGAAAACAGAATCCAAAACCTGAGATCATAATCCATTGTTAACAAAATCTTAAAATAAAATTGAATCCAATTTTATAAGAATAATTTCTTAAATATAAGCTTGTTTGGAATATCTGCTTTTGATTTTTAGTGCTTTTATTTAAATCAGGGAAGAAGTCAGACTCTGGATTTTAAAAAGTCTTAGTCCATATCTGATGTTTGTCACTGACCTAGCCTGGAGTGGAATGTCGGTTCAGATACTTCAGTCAGGTTTCTCTTGTGAGGTTCAGAAAGCTGTCTCATAAATCTGTAGTTCATGCCTTTCACATCCACAGACCAGTTTAGATAGAATTTGCTCCTGAAGAAGTTAGGGAAACAAAACACATTGTGTAACAGGATTTGGTTTGCTTTCAGTGTTTGGGCTGTTAGTGGTTTCTTAAAAATAAGCTTGTGGACTTATAGTTAAGAATTCCAGTTTTATTTTTAACAGTAGGGGTTGCTGTAGGAAAAGAGAACAATAAAGTATTGATAGCAAAGCATGCAAATGAGTTCACAGAAACACTGTATTAGTGAAGTAAAAGGGCAGCCAGAATACTTTATAAAGAAAAGGTTTACAAAGGACCCATTGAACTTTTAGTGACTTTTATAACCTGAGGCTATTATTTTTTCCAGTTAGCATTGATTAATTGCTTAGTAAAAATAAGAAAATCTTGCTTTTTGATTTTTTTTTTTTTTTTTGTCTGATTATAACATTGCCTTCCAGAGAGACCTAGGCAAGATTGAGCAATGGGCCCAGGTGAACCTCATGAGGCTAAACAGATCCATGTGCAAGGTCCTGCAGCTGGGTTGTAGCAACCTCCAATATTAGAACAAGCTGGGGGAATGAGATAATTGAGCATAGCCCAGCTGAAATGAAACTGGGGGTACTGGTGGATGGCCAGCTGGATGGCCAGTAATGTGCCTTTGCAGCCCAGAAGGCCAACCATATTCTGGGCTGCATCAAAAGAACTTTCAGTATCTAAAGGGGAGCAGAGGGGGTATATGAAATGGGGACAGACCCCTTTGTAGGATCTGTTGTGATTGTACAAGGAGGGATTTAGTTTGGATATATGAAAGAACTTTTTGACAGTAAGGATGGTGAGGCACAGGAACAAGTTGCTCAGGGAGATGGTGGAAGGTTCTATCTCTGGAGACATCTGACGTCAGGCTGGATGGGGCTCTGAGCAACCTGATCTAGCTGTAGATTCCCTGTTCATTGCAGGGAAGTTGAAGTAGATGACTTTTTTTAAGGTCCCCTCCTACTCAAATGGCTCTGTGAAAGTTAATAATGAAACTGTACCCTTTCAATTCTTATTACAGTTTACATTCTTATTCTCTCTGTACAACAGCTGAATCACAGACTCGTATGCATCTCTATCTGAACTGGCTAGTATTTCAACCTAATGCATGCAACTCAGAACAAAGGATGCATTTTATGATAAGTATTTGTGGGATGCTACTCTCCCTTGCGCCTAGATACTGGGGAAAGCTGAGAAATTCCCTTTCCTGGACTTGTTTGGCATGATGAGTTGCGAGGTAGATATGACTCAGTGATGTCAAAATTTTCCAATATTCTGGTTTCAATTGTTCATTTTCTTTATGGTAGCTCCAGACCCTGATCAGAAGGCCCTCTAATGTGCACTTACTGTACACACAAAGA